CTGGTTTTAGAAAAGGCAGAGGAACCAGAGATCAAATTGCCAATATCCGCTAGATCATCAAAAAAGCAAGAGAGTTCCAGAAAAACATCTATTTCTGCTTTATTGACTATGCCAAAGCCTTTGACTGTGTGGATCACAATAAACTGTGGAAAATTCAGAGAGAGATGGGAATACCAGACCAGCTGACCTGTCTTGAGAAACCTGTATGCAGGTCAGGAAGCAACAGTTAGAACTGGACATGGAGCAACAGACTGGTTCCAGATAGGAAAAGGAGTATGTCAAGGCTCTATATTGTTACCCTGCTTATTTAACTTATATGCAGAGTACATCATGAGAAACGCTGGGCTGAAAGACGCACAAGCTGGAATCAAGGTTGCTGGGAGAAATATCAATAATCTCAGATATGCAGATGACACTACCCTTGTGGTAGATAGTGAAGAGGAGCAAAAAAGCCTCTTGATGAAAGTGAAAGAGGAGAGTGAAAAAGTTGGCTTAAAGCTAAACATTCAGAAAACTAAGATCATGGCATCTGGTCCCATCACCTCATGGGAAATAGATGGGGAGATAGTGGAAATAGTGTCAGACTTTATTTTTTTGGGCTGCAAAGTCACTGCAGATGGTGACTGCAGCCGTGAAATTAAAAGACGCTTACTCCTTAGAAGGGAAGTGATGACAAACCTAGCTAGCATATTAAAAAGCAGAGACATTACTTTGCCAACAAATGTCCATCTGGTCAAGGCTATGGTTTTTCCAGTGGTCATGTATGGATGTGAGAGTTGGACTGTGCAGAAAGCTGAGTGCTGAAGAATTGATGCTTTTGAACTATGGTGTTGGAGAAGATTCTTGAGAGTCCCTTGGACTGCAAGGAGATCCTGGGTGTTCACTGGAAGGACTGATGCTGAAGCTGAAACTCCAGTACTTTGGCCACCTCATGTGAAGAGTTGACTCATTGGAAAAGTCTACCTCTGCATATATATATACCCATAGAATTCTGTGGATGATTTTTTTTCTCAAAGCATATTTGCATTATGGTGAGATACTCTGTGTGGTGGTTTTCTCCCCTCAAGGATGGGGCCCCAGTATAGACCTGGACACCTCCTTGATTTGCTGTAATGAATGCAATGGCAGAGACAGGATTGGTCATCCTGAGAGTGGGGAATCTTTCCCTACAACTTGAAAAACATCACCTCACTTGCTCTTATTCAAAGAGGGCTGCCATTACAGTAATTGCTATTTGTGATTTATTGACCAGAAACAATTGTGTTGCTATGAGAATACTTTTAAATAAAATGAACAATTACCCTCATTCTTAAAAACAACCTTCAGACAGAGAAGGCAAAAGATAAATGAATTCAAAGAAGCTCATGAACTTCAAGGAAATTAAATTTTGTCTGAATGAGGGTCATCTAGTCTGTCTTCACTCTTAGAATTGTAATGTTTCCTCTCTGAGGATTCTAAGTATTTTTGAGTGAACTAGAGTTAGTCATTATGCCTGTAATATTTTGTTGATATTGATAAGCAATAAAGGGACAGGATTGAGAAATATATTCAAGCATCTTTGGGGAAATTCTTAGTAGTCAATAGTATCTGCAAGTTTTTCAACTCCCCAGAAAATAGTCTAATGTGGGTGTCGTGGGCTCACAAGAGGAAGGTAGAAGAGTAAGCTGGTTTCCAAGACAGTAGTTCCTGGTAAGAAGGGGATGGTAAAGGGGTTAATTTGCAAAGTCTGATTAGAAATCGCAGCTACGGAATTTGGAGTGATTGTCACTGAGGCTTTAAAGCCTGTGGATTTGGCCTGCTGTGCACAGGCAGTGGTTCTTGATTTTTAACCCAGAACAAAGTGGCAGTCAAGCGAAAAAAAAATATGCAGCGCCTTCTGGAGGATACTGAGTGCACCGGAGCAATGCTCAGAATTCACCAGCAAGATGAGTTAAAAGAAAGAACCAGAATATGGGAAACTCTAAAGCAATCTGACTGACTAACCCAAAGTATTTTGAAATACTCTTTCATGGGTTTTGTTCCAAAGCAAAGTAACTCCAGCCATCACGAGCTAAATAAAGCTCTAGTAAGATCAATACAGTCACGGTTAGATGAGGAAGTTTATAATTAAAGCCCATGACAAAGTGCAAGACTACAGTGAAAAGCCCTGCTGAAATTCTCACGTGCATAGCAACCACCCAGGAGCCTTGTGAAAACGAGGGTTCTAATCCCGCAGGTGGGGAGACAGTGGAAACAGTGTCAGACTTTATTTTTTTGGGCTCCAAAATCACTGCAGATGATGACTGCAGCCATGAAATTAAAAGACACTTACTCCTTGGAAGGAAAGTGATGACCAACCTAGATAGCATTTTAAAAAGCAGAGACATTACTTTGCCAACAAAGGTCCATCTGGTCAAGGCTATGGTTTTTCCAGTGGTCATGTATGGATGTGAGAGTTGGACTATAAAGAAAGCTGAGTGCCGAAAAATTGACGCTATTGAACTATGGTGTTGGAGAAGGCTCTTGAGAGTCCCGTGGACTGCAAGGAGATCCAACCCGTCCATCCTAAAGGAGATCAGTCCTGGGTGTTCATTGGAAGGACTGATGCTGAAGCTGAAACTCCAATACTTTGGCCACTCATGGGAAGAGCTGACTCATTGGAAAAGATGCTGATGCTGGGAAGGATTGGGGACAGGAGGAGAAGGGGACGATAGAGGATGAGATGGCTGGATGGCATCACCGACTCGATGGACATGGGTTTGAGTAAGCTCCGGGAGTTGGTGATGGACAGGTAGGCCTGGCGTGCCGCGATTCATGGGGTCGCAAAGAGTCGGACACGACTGAGCGACTGAACTGAACTGAATCCCGCAGGTACGGGATGGAGCCTGTACAACAGCCCTCAGGGGGTGTGGATGCTGTCTGTCCTCAGGCCGCACTTGGAGTTGCATATGCAGAGACATAAGTAAGCAGGTTGCTCTTCCCTCTTTTGTAACAGATCTTGAAACTTGTGATGTGAAGCTCTCTGACAAAGTAACTGAGCCTGTTCTTAACAGTCCTATGTGTCTTGGGAGGGTATGGAAATCGATTCTGATTTCTATGTTGTGCTTTAAGGGAGAAAGAGAAGTGGATTTTTTACATTAAGGGCATTGTGGGAAAAAAAATCAATTGAAAAAATTCCAGACTGAATCGTGTTTGGTTTAGGGTTGAGAATAGTCCCACTATTTATTGTATGATGCAGTTGATTACTGGATAACATTAAATTGTATCCAGTATCTTGCCTACATATATCAGGAATAACAGTGGCACTCAAAAAATTTTAAGCGAAAAGTTCCATAAGAAGAGTCACTTTTCTGGTTAAAACTTGAAAATAAAGACTGTCTGATTTGAATGTTAGGTTATCTTTGTCCAGGATCATCCCTGAAGTATTACTGTGGTAGTTTTAAGGCACATATTTTGGAGCCAAACTCCCTGGATTTCAATCCAATAAGTCTTTACCACTTACTAACTATATACAATGATTTATACCTTACCCTCTGCAAAATGGGTCTGCATTCTACAGTTGTTTTTGGATTCAATTCAGTTCAGTCGCTCAGTCGTGTCCGACTCTTTGCGACCCCATGAACCACAGCATGCCAGGCCTCCCTGTCCATCACCAACTCCTGGAGTCCACCCAAACCCATGTCCATTGAGTCACTGATGCCATCCAACCATTTCATCCTCTGTCATCCCCTTCTCCTCCTGCCCTCAATCTTTCTCCGCATCAGGGTCTTCTCAAATGAGTCAGCTCTTCACATCAGGTGGCCAAATTATTGGAGTTTCAGCTTCAACATCAGTCCTTCCAGTGAACATCCAGGACTGATCTCCTTTAGGATGGACTGGTTGGATCTCCGTGCAGTCCAAGGGACTCTCAAGAGTTGGTCTTGAGAGTTGGTGTTGGTCTTCTCCAACACCACAGTTCAAAAGCATCAATTTTTCGGCACTCGGCTTTCTTTATAGTCCAACTCTCACATCCATACATGACTACTGGAAAAACCATAGCCTTGACTAGCTGTATCTTTGTTGGCAAAGTAATGTCTCTGCTTTTTAATATGCTGTCTAGGTTGGTCATAACTTTCCTTCCAAGGAGTAAGTGTCTTTTAATTTCATGGCTGCAGTCACCATCCGCATTGATTTTGGAGCCCAGAAAAATAAAGTAGGCCTCTGTTTCCCCATTTATTTGCCATGAAGTGATGGGACCAGATGCCATGATCTTAGTTTTCTGAATGTTGAGCTTTAAGCCAACTTTTTCACTCTCCTCTTTCACTTTCATCAAGAGGCTCTTTAGTTCCTCTTCACTTTCTGCCATAAGGGTGGTGTCATCTGCATATCTAAGGTTATTGATATTTCTTCCGGCAATCTTGATTCCAGCTTGTGCTTCCTCCAGCCCAGCGTTTCTCATGATGTACTCTGCATGTAAGTTAAATAAGCAGGGTGACAATATAGAGCCTTGACATACTCCTTTTCCTATTTGGAACCAGTCTGTTGCTCCATGTCCAGTTCTAACTGTTGCTTCCTGACCTGCATACAGGTTTCTCAAGAGACAGGTCAGGTGGTCTGGTATTCCCATCTCTCTCAGAATTTTCCACAGTTTATTGTGATTCACACAGTCAAAGGCTTTGGCATAGTCAATAAAACAGAAATAGATGTTTTTCTGGAACTCTCTTGCTTTTTTAAGTGACTTAATGTTTGTAAAGCTCTTAGACCAGTGCTTGCTATATAAACGTTTGTTAACTATATGACCAAAGTAGGACGTGTTAGTGTCACGTCTTGGTTGCCCAGTGACCTTCTGGAATCCAGAAAGCCTGTTTCTCTCTTCAAACAATGAAAACATCATCCTACAAGAGTTTTCCAATGAGCAACTGGTTCAGAGAGAAAGGTGATTTCAACCAAACAACAGGAAACCTCGAAATAAATTCACAGAATCCAGGACTTTATTATTTTGTTTGTTTGGGTAGACTTACTTGCATCCTTTGGTTTTGCAGCTGGTGATGTATATTGGCCAGGTAACCAAAGAGATCTTGAAGTGGCCCCGCCCCTTCTCCCCTCCTGTCGTGAAACTCGAGAAGAGAGTGATTGCTGAATATGGGATGCCGTCCACCCACGCCATGGCAGCCACGGCCATCTCCTTCACCCTCCTTATCTCTAGCATGGACAGGTACCAGGTGAGACAGTGATTCTTCTTCTCCACCATTTAACACCATCCACACAGTAAGGGAGCAAAGAGGGGTTTTGCTTCAGGACTTCAGGGCAAAGAGGTGTTTTGCTTTTTTTTTTTTGAAGGACGATGAAACTTATGAAGTAAAGATGGGGGAACACTTATTGAACAGTGATGATTTCTTTATAAATGAAGTGACCATATGATTTAGTGTCCAAAGCAGGTTATGCCCAACAGTGAAACTGGACACCATTTATAAAACGAGTATCACTGGGCTGTGTGGTCTCCCCCTTCTGGAAGCATTTCCACCCTGAGCTACTTGACCAGATGGCTCTTAAGTCACTGCCTGTGCCCTCTGTTTGCAAGAGATGTGAGGGGCTGATGATCCTGGTAAACGACTCTCCAGGGTGGAGATGATTTCACCAAATCCTCAAGCTTGATACCCCAGGGCCCAGGGTGAAATAGAATCTGGGCTCAAATTAGCTGCCAAAGATGCATCTGCCCTTTCTCAGGGCTCAACCAGTAGAAATAATCAGTCCACATTTTCTAGAAAGCTTTTCTAAATGACAGGAGATTAATGAGTGTTGAAAATAGAATTTCACTTATTATCTGCTTAAATGCCAATTGTAGCAAGACCTTTTCAAAGTTGTATACTATTGGGAATTTCACAGTAGTCCAGGGGTTAAGACCTTGGTGCCTGGATGCAATGCCTGATCGGGGAACTAAGATCCCAGAAGCCATGCAGCACAGCTGAAAAATAAATAAAAGTTATATTATTACTTTAATGAAGATTTATTTTTCTTATCTGAGAACTCTTGCTCTATTTTGGTGCTTAATTTCAGAAATTGTATCTTTTACCTGTTGGAAATTCTAGATTTTGTTAACACTAGCAGTCTCATGTGTAAATGACAGCATTGCTTCTCCTGCCCTGTTTACACCAAAAACCCAGAGGCATTCCATGTTTCAGGTTGTAGATAAAACAGGAGGCTTGTTTTGGGTTTGGGAGAGAACAAGATTAGTGTCAGGTCCTGACCCCACCTGGTTTTCTATCTGGTCACTTGGGATTAGACTTCAGTGGGAAAGGGACAAGTATAGGATTATATCTGACTGTGTGCTCAGTCATGTCTGACTTTTGTGACCCCATGGACTATAGCCCACCAGGCTTCTCTGTCCATGGGATTCTCCAGGCAAGAATACTGAGGTGGGTTGCCATTTTCTACTCCAGGGGATCTTCCTGACCCAGGGTTTGAAGCTGCATCTCTTGTGTCTCTTACACTGATAGGCGAATTCTTTACCACTGTTCCACCTGGGAAGCCCCCATACCACTCTTGATCTTAGCCAACTTAAATGTCATGCCAGGATTAAAAAAAAAAAAATGTCTTAGCACCCCCAGTACTGTTGGAGTTTATTGAATGCAGGTTTCTGAGCTATGTTGTACTGTCCCCATGCCATCTGTCCCAGAAGGACATAGTGCTCCCACCACTCGCCCCATCACTGGAAGCTGTCAGCATCCAGAGAAGCCTGTGAACTTGCTTCTCTTAGGAAAAAAGCAAGTGGTGCTGACTGCAGGAAAGCAACAACAGTCATTTATATGCTTATTTTAAGGCCACCTGTATCTTCTTACTTCTTTACAGCTCATATGATATAACAGTTTTCTTAAGGCCGGAGTTGTTATGGACTTCTTTTCCTATTTAATTTTTAGTGATAAATATATTTAGCTAGTTTGGTTCTTTACTCTTTACTTTATTTAAATATGTGTTTAGGCTAATACCCAGCCTCTGAATTGTGACTGCATTAGCTCATTTGTTTTTAACACTTTTTCAATTAAAATCCGAGACCCAGTTAACGATAAATCTTCAGAAAAGAGATACAACCCTATATCATTGTACTCAGATGTTACATTGGAAAGCACATGTTGGCTTGGACTCAGAAGATGTGGCTTCTTGTTTAGACTGTCACTGCTGGCTGTGTGACCACTGCACCTCCTTGAGCCCTGGCTTCTGTTGGGAGGATCAAATGGGATGATCGATGGGCAAGCATCTTTGTGCAAAAGTTCAGAACTAATGCAACTTATCAAGGTTAAGGGTTTCCTCATTTGTAGACTGGGGCTAACAATAGACTGTACTTCATAGGGTTCTGTGAAGATAAAATGAGAGTGACTGTAAGGTACGTCACGTATTGTAGACAGTTCTGTATCATCCTTATCCTTAGCACCGTGGAAGACCACAGACATTAGTACTTGAAGCAACTGGATTATCTCTCTCCATCTAATTCATAAGCATATCTGTGTGTTCCTTATATGACTTATCATTAGCCAGATTCCTCCAACTGTTTTCATTACTCATCTGCAAATGTCAAGATTCAGTGAAGTCTGGACTTTTGCCTTGACAACTGTACAAATATGCCCGTCTCAGCTTGGCCATTGTTCCCAGACTTCCCTATGAATCCAGTTGTTGCCGAGCTTTATCTTCACAGCACATCTTGGGAAGGTAGCTGGTTGGACTTTGTAAAATTATAGCACCATCCATATACCTTGCCTCTTGGAAATACTGTATATTTCACAAATTTTAAATATAGGTAGAAATAAAAAATTGTTTACTCCACTAAAACTTTTAGCACAATAGCTATGGTCAAGTCCCAGTGTGTCTTATTTGCATGTCAGTATATTGTGAAACTTCCTTCCAGAATTACATTCCTAGGCATTTTCTCCTTCTCTTTCCTTAGTTTTCCCATTTTTTTGAGTGATTTTAGATCATCGAACTACTGGCCTAAGGAATATGAGATTAAGACTAGGAGTTAATGGATCAGAAACCCCTTCCCTTCTACAACATCAAATTGTGTGTGTCTGAGCCTGATCTAATGCCTTGTTTTCTCTCCTTCCCCTGCAGTATCCCTTTGTTTTGGGACTGATGATGGCTGTGGTGTTTTCCACGTTGGTGGGTCTCAGCCGACTTTATACTGGGATGCACACGGTCCTGGTAAGGCTTTGTGGGCAAGTCTTGGGGTGATATCTGAATAGGAGTGTAGCCACGGTGTCAGTGTGTTCTTCATACTACATGATTATAAAGCTATTTGCATTTCATAAGAAGGCCAGTGAAGGCTATCATTTTATTTCCCATCAAGCCAATGAATTAGGAAATGATTATCTTAAGGCACATGTATAATAATAGTAATGAATCATTAAGATACTATCAAGTAGGCTGGTCTGGGCTAGACTGGCTAGAACGGCAATGAAGATTCAGGTAATTTGTTTACATGCTAGCTTACTGATGATGAAGCAGGCAGTGCAGAAACACACCCAGGGTCAGGGATGTTGAGTGATGGATGAAGTTCTTCACTTAGGTCCTCCAGAAATGGTTCTGAAATTCAGGGGTCTTAGCTGCCCTTCATGATCGGAGTCCCACCGGGTCAAAAGAGCCCAGCATCATGGGCTTGCTTCCTTCCATAGTGCGTTTGCATTTAAAGAGCTGTCTACCTTTTTTTTTCTCCCCACCATATTAGGAATTTTTTCAGAGCTGCCACAGTTAGCACAGTTGAAATGACTCAATTCTATTTCCTAGGGTGCCAGCCATCTGCCTAGGAGTTCCAGAGCATAACGCTGGCCATGGCTTACCATGGGCACTATTTATCATGGTAATTGGTGATAGATTTCTTTAAAAAGGACTAGGCCCTTGCTAATTGTGTTACTCTCCATATGAAGCTCAACAATTGGATTAGGCTAAGGCCTCAGAGGAAAAGGCCAGCCTTCACTGGCCTTCTTGTTTCTCCCCTTGTGCCTGACCTTGGTCATCCAGGGTTGGGGGGTGGAAGGACAGAAGCCACAGAGGGGAACAGATGTGGGGAGAGGGTTTGTCAAAATGGGCAGAAGCAGAGAATGGGAAGGAAAATAAACCCAGAGTCCAAGAGTTTATGGCTGCATGGGATGCTTTCCTCTTTAAAAAAAGAAAAAAAAATTGATTCATTTTTGACTGTGCTCGGTCTTTGTTGCTGCACATGGGATTTCTCTAGTGGCAATGAGCAGGTGGGGGGCCACTCTCTTGTTGCGGAGCACAAGGCTCTGGGGCACACGGGCTCAGGAGTTGTGGCACACAGGCTCAGCTGCTCCGCAGCAGGTGGGGTCTTCCCGGACCAGGGATCGAACCCGTGTCTCCTGCATTGGCTTTCCCATGCTTTCCTCTCAAGACAAACAAACAAAACACTAACTCCAAGGAAAGTGGGAACCTGAGTGGAATCGGGACCGAACCCAGGGTGAGGCCAGAAAGGCAGGAAATCGAAGAGGTGCCAAACAACTCTGGAATCAAGAGAAATGATTTTCAGGCAATACTTTAAAGACAAAAAAAATCAAAATCAATGCTGAAATTTTCCATGATGAACAAAACATTCCAGTTTGAAATAAACTCCTGCCTGTGTGTGACCTTGCTGACTTTGCACCATGCTGGTCTTGGAGTGCACTCTAGGATACAAGGGGTGTGAAAATATGACACAACTGTTAGGGGTCAGGCTTATTATCTACCTACCAAGACAGGTCCCTGCTGTTCTCGTCCCACCGCACTGTGTGTGGCGTGGCTTCTAAGACTTCAGGGGAAAAGGGGAGGAGTGCATTCTCAATTTGCTACACCACTGCACCTCATCATAAAGGGGTCCTCTCCAAGTGCGTCCACAGGCTGGAATATGGAACAAAGCAGAACTCTCTTGGGTGTTTGAGTATTTCTTTTATCCAGGGCAACTTTTTAATTTCCATAGGTTTTATTAAAAAGCAATCTTAGGAACTCAGGTTAAAATTAAAACCAAAGGAAACATGAGACTGTGGGGCTGCAGACATGAATAGAGGGCACAGAAAACTCTGGATTCAATAAGAATCTAGCTACATGTCTATCTTTAGTTCTGAAAGTAGGTTAGGGGATGGAGAAGCACAAATCTGCGGGGAGGATCATTAAGGCCTCTCTTTGAGATGTGAGGAATGGATCCCCCCACCCATTTCAGAAAATCTGTCCCAGGAGAAACTAGAACAAGGGGTGTATGTGTGTGTGTGTGTGCGCTCAGTCGCTCAGCCATGTCTAACACTGTGTAGTCACAGCTATTCCTCCCAACCCCATCCTGCACCACCATTGGCGTCCAGGGACATCCTTCACTTGCAAAGTTTTGTCTCATAAAGATCGGAGACCCTGGGCTTCTCTGGCAGTCCAGTGGTTAAAACCCAAGTCTACTGCCTTGCAGGTGGATTCTTTACCACTGAGCCCCCTGGAAAGCCCATGGCCCAGGGTAGGATGATACGTAATTTCTCGTAGCAAAAGCAAATGTTTTTAATAGAAAGATGGAGTTGAATTATGGATTTGCTGTCTTCTCTATTTAGCAGCAACTTAGTAAGCTTCTTGGCTCCGATGGTAAAGGGTCTGCCTGCAATGCGGGAGACCCAGGTTCAGTCCCTGGATTGAGAAGATCCCCTGGAGAAGGAAATGGCAACTCACTCTAGTATTCTTGCCTGGAAAATCTCATGGACAGAGGAGCCTGGCAGACTGTAGTCCGTGGGGTTGCAAAGAGTCTGACATGACTTAGCGACTAACACTAGTTAAGTTCTACAGGCTACAGGCTTGGAGCTAGATCTGGAAAATAGTTGGGTAAATAAAACCTACCAAGTCTGTTGATGGAGTCAGACATAGCTTCTGATTACTGGCTCTAATGAGTATTATAATTAGCTTAGAACAGCTAAATCAGGCCAGGCCAACTAGGTGGCGTGACTCCCCTTGGACCCCTCACGAGGTTCTCCACAAACTAGTGGTTCTCAACCTTGGCTACACATTCAGATCCCGTGAAAAACTTTTCAAAAATATTTGGACACCCAGATTTACAGCAACAGCATTATTTACAATAGCCAAAAGGTAAAAGCCAGCCACGTGTCCACTGATGGATGAATGGATAAATAATATGTGATTCACACATACAATGGAATATTATTCAGCCTTGAAAAGGAAGGAAATTCTGACGCACACTACAGCATGGAAGAAACTTGAAGACATCATGCTAAATGAAACAAACCAATCACCAAAGACAAATGCAATGTGATTCTGCATATATGATGTCCTTAGACAGTAAAATTCACAAAGTCAGAAAGTAAAGTCATGTCCAACTCTTTGCAACCCATGGACTATAGCCTGCCAGGCTTCTCTGTCCATGGGACTTTCCAGGCAAGAATACTGAAGTGGATTGCCATGCCCTCCTGCATGGGAGCTTCCTGACCCAGGGATCGAACCTGGCTGTCTTATATCTCCTGCATTGGCAGTCAGGTTCTTTATCACTAGTGCCACTTGGGATTCCCACAGAACATAAAAGTAGAAGGTGGTCGCCAAAACGTGAGGAAGAACAGGGAGTTATTGTTTAGTGGGGTACAGAGTTTTAGTTTAGGGTGATGAAAAAGTTCTGCAGGTGGATAGCAGTGATGGTTGGGCAACAGTGTAAATGTTCTTAATACCATTGAACTATACACTTTGAAATGGTTAAGATGACACATTTTATGTTATGTGTGTGTGTGTGTTTAACCACAGTAAAAGATACAGTCCTATGCATTGGTGTTTTTTCAAAGCTCCTTGGTTGGTCTTAAGGTACAGCCAGGGTTGACAGCCCTTGACTAGACTGTCCTTTAGAACTGGGCATGGGCACTGGCCTGGACAAAAGAGGAAGGTGCGGACAGTGCTGCATGGGCACTGACTGTGTCCACAGTCTGAATGGCTCTAATCACACCCAGCGTGGGGGCTCGCAGCACACAGATCCTCCAGGAGGCTGCCAGCCTCGTGTGAATGGCTCTCCTCCGTGCTCTGTAGTGACCTAAGTGGGCAGGAAGTCCCAAAACAAGGTGATATATGTATTCACACAGCTGAATCACTTGGCTTTAGAGCAGAAACTAACACAGCCTTGTAAAGCAACTCTACTCCAATAAAACTTAATATCAGAAAATTTGGTGACATTACATGGGGCACTTTCTGTCCTTCCACTTGTAGTAGTGTTTTATAGATAGCAACTTCTGAGTAGACTGGGAACAGTGTATTTTGAGCGATGGCAAGGAATCCATAAAACTACTTTTTGGTGACCAAAGACTGATTTTTTTCCTACTAAAACTACTGTTTAAGCCTTGTTTCTTGATGCCTTGTCAAATGTCTATATGTTGTGTTTCGGTGTCATATCTTTTTGCCTTTTCATACTGTTCATGGGATTCTCAAGAATACTGAAGTAGTTTCCCTTTTCCAGTGGACCACATTTCGTCAGCACCCTCCACCGTGACTCATCCGTTTTGGGTGGCCCTACGTGGCATGGCTCATAGTTTCATTGAGTTAGACTCATTGGAAAAGACCCTGATGCTGGGAAAGATTGAAGGCAGGAGGAGAAGGGGACGACAGAGGATGAGATGATTGGATAGCGTCACTGACTCGATGGACATGAGTTTGAGCAAGCTCCAGGAGTTGGTGTTGGATAGGGAAGCCTGGCGTGCTGCAGTCCATGGGGTCATAAGGAGTCAGACATGACTGAGCGACTGAACTGAACTATATGTCAAGTACAGTAATTGAAACTGTTGATGATAGAAATAATTTAATATACCTTAAAAAAAAATTGGTTCTCCATGCATCAAGAGGAGGAACAGCTCATGGAGAGCAGTCATTTCCTTCTCTTGCCTATTAAGACATCCTTCCCGTCAGGGATGAGTGGTCTGCTGTTATGTCAAGGCTTCTGGACGGGTTCAGCTGACTCCTGGGCAGGCCCGAGTGAAGTGTGGGGAGGGACTGAACCCACACGTGGTGTTGCCATCTGGCCAAACCAGCCCTGGCATTGCTTCCTTCTGCCAGGACGCCTGAGTAAGAAACCAGAGCACCACCCTCACTCCTCACACCCATCAGTCAGGTAGTCACCAAGTCAAATTAGTTCTGACTCTTAAAGATGTCATAGAGCTGTCCTTACACCACTGCCTGGATACTATTTCCAAATCCGA